TAAACCTCTTCATGTGAGTTCCACTTAAAGCAATGGGCCCGGGACTGAGGGGCTTCCTGGGGTGTGAGAGTTTTAGGACTAAAACCCAGAGTCCCGGGCAAACCTGGGTGGTTGGTCACCTTACTTCCATGTCACACTCTTAGATATAGATGCTAAAATAATTTTAATTACAGAAAACTGAACCCTTCTGTGGGGTTGGAATGATTCCGTGCGCATTACGAAACTAGAAAAACAGGAATTATGCATAGGTCGTAAACCCACTCGATTGTCAGAAAGCTTTATAAAGACAGCACATTTGGCGTGCAAGTTAACGATAATCACAATGGTCACGTCATTATCTGTATAGTCATCGTCCTCTGAGAGCTTGGTGGTACTTATTCTAAAACTATATTAATTCAGAGGCCGGAAAGAACACACAACCAGCACTCTATTAATATTTCAATAGAGAGAGATGTATTTTTAACTTCTAAAAATTTTGGTTTTAAATGATATATTGTAACTTTGTTCTCAAACTATAGATGTGCTTTTAAAGATTATTCTAATGTGCTCACCTTGTAGAGTTTCATTTCTCTTCTTTTTCCCTGATTTACCATACAGATCAGTACAGTTGGGCTAATACCCATTATAATGTTTCTTCAAACCAAAGCTGAAAAACCTTGAGTGGTGGTGGGGGGACCAGGAATTTGTAGGGTCTTGACATATCCAGGTCCAGGGACAAGGACCCCAGACCAAGGAACAACCCCATTTTAAGAACAAAATTACAATGTGCCATTTAAAACCACAATTTTTAAAAGTGAAAAATACGTCTGTCTCTAATGGAAATGTTAACAGCGCTGGCTCTGTGTTCTTTCTGGCCTCTGAATTAATGTAGTTTTAAAACAAGCACCACCAAGCTCCTCGCATCAGCAGTGAGACCCGGCTCTCTGGGGAACTCTTGGGCCCTTCTCTCCACTCCCACTGTCCTTCAAAGCCTCAGACAACACCTACAATGACCGAAACAGATAAGTATTAAGAGAAAGTCCTTTTCTACAGATAAATTTAGGACCCCAGGACTGCGTGAGCTCACTAGGAGTGATTCAGACAGACTTGCGGGTTCTAAAAAGGAGCTAGTGACTTTGATTTCGTTATCTGTGTCCATTGATTGGGCGTTTCCCCTTCATGGAGCCAATTGACAAAGTGCTTTTCTAAAGGTCGGTTGATAAAAATAATCTTGAAACGCCTTCGCAGAGATATAAAATGGCAGTTCCTAAAATTTGGACCCATGAATCAGTCAGGCAATGCATCAGATTTCCAAAAACGGGACCCAATTCCAGACACCTTTGTAAATGCCGTGCCTACGTTTTCCAACACGCAGCCATCCCCATCCACCCACCCAAGCTCCCTACCCATCTCTGATACACGCATTTCTTCTTAACGATAACGCTCCTTCTGTCTGGAGCCCAACAAATGCAGTGACCAGGTAGAAAGAGGCAGAGCTTCCTTTCTCACGCTTACCTGGGCAGAGGACAATTAGGTTAAATGAAAGGCTGATTTAAAAAGAAACGAATTAAACAGTGTAGGGATGGAGTCTGCTTGTCTCGCTGGCGCTGCTTAGTGCCTTTATGATGTTCAGTGACCTGCGTCAGGTCTGTGACATAGTCGTTCCGCCTGTTGCCTGGTGTCTTCACCACCTGGTTCATAATGGCCAGTGCTTTCGTCTGTCGAAAGCTTACTGTATCCCGAGAATGGCACCAAGCACTGTACGCGCTTACTCTCTCAGCCAGCACAACACTTTGAGGAGTTACTGCTATTAACCTGCTTTACAGCTAAGGAAACTATGAATTAAAGAGGTAAAGGGGCTTCCCTGAGAGACACAGCTCACATACTGCAGTGCTGGCTGGTCTCAAACCTTAGACGGTCCTGCCTGCCTTGGCTGCTCCTTTGCTGGGCTTCAGACCATCCTCAGAAAGCCTCCTCCGAAGCCTGGAGGCTGTTACAGGCCTGGCCTCCTAGAAGGAGTAACTCCCCCCGCTCCCCCGCCCCCCCCCCCACCACTAACAGCTGGCATTAGCTGCCCCAGGAGCTGCCTCTAGGAAGTCCTGCTGTGCAGGATACAGCACCTCTCCCTTCCGCTCCCAGAAAGACAGGCTGGGAAACCTACAGGAGGCGCCCGAGGAAGCCTGCATTCTATCCTTCCCTGATCACTCAAGTTCTGTTTCCACTGAGGCCCACCTTGCCTCAGACAACTCCATGTTACACATCATCAGCATGAGAAAGGGGGAAAGAGACAAAAGCGTGACTCATGGGGACCGTTCCAGGCTCAAATTGCTTTGAACGTTCTTAAGTCTTATTCGCAAATACGCAGCACTCTGGGGGCAAGGGGCCCTTGTGAATAGCTGTCCTACTCTCTGTCTGCCTTCCACCCTGAATCGTACTACCTTCTTTCCCTCGAGATGTATGTGGCACACTACGACCCACAGGTATCTATCTACATGACAGTATCAGGACACCATGAAATAGGTGGACATATGGGAGCATCAAATGTTTATCAGACATCAATGGAAGGCACCAAGAAACGCTACAAGGATCCAGATATAACAGGATAATTGGCTGGATTAAATTCATATGGCCTTCAGAGAATTCAAAGACCACTGTGTAAAAATGTGTCCTTCCAAATTCCCCAGACGTTAAAGGCTTGGACATCAGGACATGTCACCATGCCCTCTTGCCAGAGCTGTTCAAGGCTAAGGGGTTAATAATAAACGCTCCAGCTTGAAGCAGACGCCCCAGTAAGTACCAAGCGCTTCTCCGGGGCCTGGCTCTAACCTGGCCACCGGGAAGCTGGGGCTCAGGTTCAAGGGCAGTTTCCTGAGCCCCGTTTCCATCCCTGGCTCCCAGACGTCCTCCCACTTCAAACAGGCTGCAGTCTCAACCCTCCGTTTACTGGAACACAACTTTCACACCCAACATCAAAAGGCTGTCAATTACAAACTTTCAGAAACATCTGAAAGCTTCGCCATTGGTGTAGTGTCGGAAGGCTCCTGCCCACGGCGAGGGTGCGGGCCAGTCCCACAGCCGCGCGTGTCGCACACCCAGGCATGTGCACACAGCCCAGGGGATCACCGTGCACTTATTTGTAAGACAAGCGTTAGATTTCAGAAACGACTCTCTCCCGGGTTGAATTTTGTCTGTTTCTTCGCCTCTGCGCCCAAGTTCTACGCTGCGCCAAGATCTGTCCCCATTGTGCCAGCTGACCTCCTATCATGGGCTTTTTTTTTTTTGGTTTGTCTTTTGCTGAGAAACGGCCGTGTGCTCTGCCTCCCTAACCCAGCCGCGGCCTGTCGTCCCCCAGACAAAAAGCAGCGGCCACGGCGGTGGCGCAGGGCGGCGGGGCCCTGAGAGCCGCGGCGCTGCGCCTTTGTTGGGCGGGCTACAGATGGTGCCCCAGCACGCGGCCG